GATTCCGTGGTTCTAGCACGGTCGCTTAAACTATTATAATTGGCCTATTATCTGATTTTAATACATGTTTTAAACCTATAGTAAAATTTTAAATTACTTACCGCTTTTAATTAATTGTAAAGGAAATTGAACGTCGTTTAAAATATGTCTTTGCATTGCGTCACATGAAATGCACCCGCAATCCAAAACACATTTTATTCAACGTTTTAGGATTTGGATATGGATCACACGAAATGCACACCCGAGTTTAGGAAGGTAGGATTATTAAAATACGCGCCTAAAGCAACTAACGCGTTATTAACTCTGCGAGGGCCATGAAAATTCGCTAAATGGCACGCCTCAAATTCTAAGTATTTTAAAAGGAAATAATTAAAAGAGGGCCACGCATTTATGATTTTATTTGGCGCGGCGCACCTCAATTCCATTTTCTAAAGGATGTCCTAACTAAAATTTGGGAGGGCCATGGACTATTATTATCTCTTTGGGCCGCCTCCGCAATTATTTAAAGGGACTTAATTAATTAACTAAAGACTTACAGTGATTGAAATTCTGTCTAAATAAATCAAATATTTTAACCTCTACAAATCAGTAAATGGTGAAATGACATTGGGTTAACGTGAAGTCCACTTGAAAAGCAAGGCCCGGATTATTCTCGAGGGAGACTGTCAAGCTTGGGCCAAGCAATGGGCCCAAGTTCGAAGCTTCAGCAGGCTTAAACGAGGGACTCAATATCGAGTCTCTATAGGCCCAGAAACTAGCAAAAATTCAACAGTACAAACATTCAGTGGGCGGATATAGGTATAAACGATAGCTGGGCTCGTTTGTTATGCAACTGGGCCAACGTTGGGCCCAGTTCTTATGGTCCAAATGGTTCAGATCAGGACATATAATACAAAACACAAATTGATACAAACATATGAACATGAGATTAAAAGATTTGAATTGCTGATTTAAACCCTTTGACACAAATTAACCAAACATGATCAAATTATTTTAAACAACACCTGGTGATGTCCACTTGAGCTACAGAAAACTAAAAAAAATCATGGAGAAAACTTTGACTAGAGAATCATGATTCATTCATCACAGACTAAGGAGAATTTCAACCTAATTTAAACACAGATATTGACTTCCTGATACCTGCACTACCAAGCCATTATGTCTAAACAAATCACAAAGTTCTATTGACACCCCCCATATTAACATTTAGCCTCAACCTCCCAAACATCAATCCAGCCATGAATTCATTCCCAAGCATGATTACATATGCTATTTGAAACCAACAAATTTAAATACATTAAACTTGACTAAGCTTTGAACACAATAATCTAACAATCCTCAAGCAAATACAGAACATAAGAGCCTAGCTAAGTACGCAGTGATCCATGTGAATGAATAGCATATGCATCATGAAGACTATAGATGAGACAGAGGGGTCTGAGTCATGCTTTCAGCTGTTATTTCATCTTCAAAACTGCAGATTACATCTCTAGAGTTCAGGAAAAATACCTGGAATTCGAGGATAAAACAGAAAAAGGCAGTGAAAGTAAAGAAACAGCAGCAGTAGTAGAAATCAGCAGCAGAAATGCATCCAGTTTTAACCCAGAAAAGGATGCAAACAGCCTAGAAGAACAACTTCAAAACCCAGCAACAAACCAGAAGACTTCAAACTAGACTTGATTTCAATTTATTTTTAGCTATCAGCTACCCAAAATTTGTTTTAGAACCAGGAGAAAACTTCAGAAAACCACCAATAAAACTCAATGAAACAGTGTTTCTGAAGTTTTTGCCGTCTAGAATTTTCAGAATTTTTCAGCTCTTAGGTCTCTAAGGTCTGATCTCTGAAATCTCCCTTGCAAGGCAAGAATGCAATGTCTTTATAGGCAAGCAAGTAGGGCAACCCTTCAGATTTTATTTTAACCCTTAGGTCCCTTTTTCAATTCTTGTTTTAGCTTAGGAATCCCTAAAATTTTGACTTGCTACCCAAGTTAAACTATCAAAAAGCCTGAAATTGGCTAAAAACCCCTACTAGAAGCTTCCTATTTCAGTTACACTAGAGATTTCCTAACATGAACTTCCTAAAACACCCCCCAAGTGCCCTGAATTTACCCCTTGAACCTCACAGACAAATTGATATGGGTCTCTATACTTCAAGTCCTGGGCCTCGGATCTTCAGGGCCTAAATCCAATTGGATTCAAACCCAAACCCCAAAACCAATATACCAAACTTATTGGTCTAAATGACCTGCTGAGTCATAGGACTCATGATATCTTGGGCTCAAAGGAAAAACAGGAAATATAAAAGGAATTCGGACAAAACTTAACACAAACTTAAAATTATGCTAATGACTCAATACTAACATGCTCAAGAAAAATAGTTTCGGAGAACCAGAAAAAGCAAAAAGAAATACAGAAGATGATAAAATAAGGCCTAAAAATGCAAGGAAAGCAGGAAAAATATAATAAAAGAGAAAGAAAAATACCTAAACGGGCTTGGACATTTAATGAACAAAAATGAATCCTCAGGCCTTCGATTTTCGGCTAATTCTGACGTTAGTCGTGTGTTCTTATCAAGAACACACGACTAATGTCAAAACAAACCCAAATCTTCCATGAAATCTTGATTTTAAAAATTAGGGCTTGGACTCAGATTTGATATTCGAGAGATTTGGCTAAGATTTGAGGGAAAAGGGGTGTGGATTTTTGATGTGGAGGTGGAGGAAAATAGGGCGGCTAGGGTTTTTTGGGTCTCTAGGGTTTGGGGGTGAGAGACGGGTGACGAGGCGGTAGGGGGGTGCGTTTGGACATATATATATTAAGTGACCTCAACTTTAGAACCGTCCGATCAAGCAACCTCGACGGCTATGATTTAATGAGGCCAAACGGCGTCGTTTCAATTAAGGGGAAGACCGGATCGGGTGCCTTAACGGACTGGGCCGGGTGAGGGGTGGTTTGGGACGGGTCTCAGGGGTTTTTGGCTGAGCTTGATTTGGGCCAGCCCAAACTTGAGCATTTTTATTTAAAGACTCAATTTCTTTTTAATTTTCTTTTCTTTTTCTTTTCAATTAAAACTAACAACCTAAATTAACTCTAAATTAACCTAACAAATTATATTAAGCTCTAATTAATAATCAACACAATTAATTAAATACCAAATTAAAGGAAAACTAACAAAATTCAAAGCTAAAAATTAAACTGAGCAAATAAATTAATTTTTTTTTTGTGATTTTTGTATTTTGTAAAACCCTAATTACTAATTAATCTAAAAATATGTAAAATTAAATCCTAAATGCGAATGTAATACGTCTTTTTGTATTTTCCATGAATTATATAAAGTAAAAATGCATACAGAAATGCAAATAAACATGAAAATTATGCAATTAATTCCTAGAAAATCAAATAATTAAAAGAAAAATCCTAAATCTAAGAATTCTGTAGGAGTAATTCACGCGAGACAAATATCACGTGCTCACAGCTAGTACAACCAAGTGACAGCTGTAGAAGTTAGTTAGTTAGCTGATTTCATTTTTCTCATTTCAGCTTTTGATTCTCGTTTGTATATAGTAGATACTCCACTCACTTTTCATTTTGAGTGAATAGAAAAATCTCCAGAATCTTCTTCTGTCTCTCTCTTCATCTTCTTCTTCACTCTGACCTCCCATGGCATAGAGGTTCAGATCTGTTTATCATCGAAGCTCAATTAAGCTTTGAGCTACTGTTGCATTGGCAATTTTGATAAATATCAGGGCAAACCCTATTAATATTAACCTGAAATCCAGTATTGGCCCATACAATGAAACTGATAGCCCATAGTTGTTCATTTTTAACTTATTTTGGTGTTTTGGTAAATTTAAAATATATTAAAGTTAAGTACTTTTAAGTCAAAACTCTTAAGTTAAGCAACTCCAACTACTAACTCGATACTTCATGAGTCATGACTGGATGATTGAGCTCCCACATATTATGACGTGTCCCAAGATTCCCACAGCTATTACTAGAAGTGGAAAGTGCCGGGTAAAGGTCGTCAAATAGGTAAATTGGAAAAAACTTTGGATGCATTACAATGAATGGAATCAATAAATGATAGTGATAAAACATGGATTTGGTCAGGATGAACTGAAAAGTAAGCCCTTGTTTGGCCATACATTTTCTCAAATTTAATTTGAAATTTATTTTCAAATTTCATGTTTGGCCATAAATTTGACCCACATTTTGGCCAAAACTCAAATCACATATTTGAAATCTCAAATTCAGCTAATAAGCTGAATTTGGGCTAAATTCCAAAACTTGGGAATTATATACATGTTTTCCCAAAATAAAGTTGAAAAATATGTTTTGAAATCGTATGTCCAAACACATTTTCATCTTCAAACCAAACTTCACCCAAATCAGATTTTTCAAAATAAATTTGGGATCTATGGCCAAACGCTAGCTAAAATTCTATTGAGAGCTTTATATAGCCCGACTAATGCTCATCTGCATTTTATAGTTTGGATTAGAAAATTTGTTGAATTATATTGGTTTACCGATTGAGTTAGTCTCTTTGAATTAATCTATGCCGATGTGCGAAGGGGAAAAGGATAATTTTCGCTTTTGCTTTGTATCTTTCTTCTTGATTTCATGTTGGTCATATTTTTCATATTATTTCTGTGGTATTACTGATATGATCTCCTTTTGTCTTCTTGAGCCAAGGGTCTTTCGGAAACAGCCTCTCTACTCCTTCGGGATAAGGGTAAGGTCTGCGTACACACTACCCTCCCCAGACCCCACTAGTGAGATTTCACTGTATCGTCGTCGTTGTTGTAATCAGAACTTTAACATAAACATTTAGTTTGAATTCGAATTCAAAAGTTTTGGTCTAATGGTCTCTCGTGATTTTCTCTTTCGACTGAATAATTGCTTTCTTTTCCACTACAATTGTCTCTTCAAACCAACATCTTTAGTTTACCAAAGACAGAATCCAGTAACAGGAAGAAAAGGAAAAAAAAATTGAAAAAGAATTGGGAATCAAAGAGTAGACATATATATCATAACTCCTCTTAATTAGATAATACATGGCATCTATATTAGCAGAACCGTCCATTTAATCCACAACAATAGAAATATATTATCTCGTCAGTGCAATACAAAAGGAAAGGAACAATTTTGCATATATCCACGTAACACTTAGCCTAATTTATGCTGCATCCTCATCAAGTTTAATGCTCTCCCTGTTAAGCAAAAAAAACACAACGAAATGATTCAATTAATCACACACTCAGTGCGGTACGCAAGAATTTTTATTAGTGACGTCAATATTTGATGAAGTTAACAAATGAATAAATTATTATAACGGTAGTCGGTGTCATCTTTTTGTATTAATATTTAAAATCTTAATTTTATTTATTATTTATAAATATTACAAAAAAAAAAAACGAAATTATGTTACATGACATCGCTGGAAACAAGGGCCTATGCCTCTGCACGCACTTTGTTCTTCAGTACTTATTCTTTTCTTTGGCTCAGTGCCTTTTTTCTTTTATGGTCAATGTTGAAAAGAAGTCCAAGTGAAAAAAGAAAAGGACAAAACTAGTTATAACCCCACCTAATAATAATAAATCGAAAACAATAACGTCTAGGTTCAAATATTTGGCTTGATTTCCCCTAAAATAACGTCTACATATTTGGCTTGATTTCCCCTAAAATAATGTACTACTCCCTCCGTTTCAATTTACGTGAACCTGTTTGACTGGGCACGAAGTTTAAGAAAAAATGAAAACATATGAAATTTGTGATCCTAAACAAGTCAAAAGGGGCCAAAGTATTTGTGTGGTTATAAAAACTTGTCATTGAGGATAGTAAGTTTAAGCTAAATTGTTATCAAATTTGGAAATTAATTATTATTTTTGTAACGGATCAAAAAGGAAATAAACTGGAACAGAGGGAGTATATGTTATACTTTAGCCATGATCTTTTCAGAACAATGTAAATTTTATACTAATATATACATTTGATATGAAAGATAATCAGAATCCGAGGTGCTTTTAGGTCTATTCTTTTCCATTTCTAAAATCTCATTACTATATATTGGTGTCTCTAGAAATCAAATACACATCAAAATATTTCAAGAAGAAAGAGGAAAGAAGTTCACCTTCTTAAGGGTAATGAAATCCACAAACTTGTTTTTGGGTTTGCCATTAGGAGACTGAGACTTGTCTTGAAAATATGAAGATCCATATTTCTTGATTAGCTTTTCCCTAACAAATTTTCCATAGATGAAAGCAGCTCCTCTGAATTGGGGAAGAACCAACCATGCCACAAAAGCCAACTTCGCCTCGTACCAAATTGGTATCCTGTAGCAAAATTACACAACATCATCCAATCAAAATCCACAAATTTACTACATATAAAGTTGAATTAATCGATTTTGCTCTTTCATTCCGATTAAATATCTATATTTTACTACTTACCATTGAAGAACGGGTTCAAGTACCATCTCCATGAGAGTAAGAAAAGAGTAGAGAATCCAATAAGCAAGCCACTGCTCATCATCTACCTTTGATGTGCTCTCTATTGCCACTACTGATGCATATCTATACAACAACACAAAAGAAATTAAGCCCAAGCTCGAGAAATCCTTTTCTTCTTAAAAAGAAATGAACAAATAATAAGGTACGTAACACCATTTGTAAAGGATTACTTACAGAGGATACAGTAACATCACCACTGGCCTGCATGTTTATCAGAAAAAAGAAAATTAAACCAACTGCTGGACATTAAACGACACTGTAGAAAGATTGTCGTAGTAAAGAAATGAAAAGGTTAATGTTTTACCCAGCAAGAGCATGGAGGTGAGAAAGCAAAGTCCAGAATTTGCTCATGATTACTTTAGAACTATGGATTTGTTAGGTTGTGTGCTATAAAAGGAAAATAGAGGAACAGAGATCGAGTAGTACAGAGTCTAGTCTATTCGAAATTAGAGGACAAAAGATTGGATTTTGGACAGCAATTATTGACTTGTTTTTGAAGAAGAGATGGTGACAAGCATTATTTATAGCATGGGGTGTACAAACGACGTCGGCAGTGGTAAAACTGGTCAAGTTAGCATCTTATGCATTTTGACGTGGTGTTCTAGGTTTTCCTGCACCGACCTACTTTGTAACTTTGCGTACCGACGCCATCTAATTTTTTATTTAACCAAATCTAACAAAACAAACAATTATAAAGAAAACAAATTAAGAACCTGAAGAAGATAAAGTCACAGCAAATAATAATGTATAGTACTGGTCTATTTATTGGAGGCAAAAATGTACAGCATGTTTACCGCTACTACAGGTTTTTCTAAAGGCAAAAGCTTGTGCTGCAGCGTACTACAGTAAATGTCTCTATGGGATTGAGTAAACAATTAATTGTTGAGAGGGCGGAGCAATAATATTCACTACGAGTTTAAATAAATCCAATAAATATATTAATTATAAATTTAATGATTAAGACAAATTATGAAATCAATATCAAATTTAAACCTATAAACTTTAAATTTGAGCTACGCTTGTAATTATTGGACCATAGAAAAAGAGTGGCCATAACCATAGCCGCTTCTTCAATGCTGCAGTCTAATTTATGTTACTAGATGGCATTTATAGTTTAATTTCCGGGGAACAGAAGTCACGTGATCATGTTATCGAGGAAGAGGGCGGTGACAGATAGCATATGGAGCATCTCTCTCTAACCAGGTTTTTGTTCTGACGATGAAAATTAGTTCAAATTTCAAGGTATATATAGTTCTTTAATAAAATAATAAAATATCAAACCACACAGGTCCACGTCAGACCGTTGATTCCTATCACCTCATCATTTCTTTCACTCATTTGAGACCTTAAGACAATTGCAAGCAACTTATGGTTTTTTTGGTGGAAACTTTTATTATACATGGGGAGGGAGAGAAAACAAGGTAGGAAATTACAAGTTCTAAAATCAACTCTCGTCAACAAGCTAAAAGTTTAAACTACTATAATCATAGGAATGATATATCGCAGCCAGTTATTTTTCTCGTGTCGGCCAACGAATCTAAATTATGAGTGGTAGCATAAGATTCCAAGTTCCATCATGATCAGCTCTCGCTCTTTCTCTCCTTCTTTTCTTTTTAACCACAAAAGCAATTTTGGTAGTATATGATACCAATGGTTAAACAAGAGCAGAATGCTGAATAATAGGAAAAGCGACGACTCAATGGTACTGGAGGCCTAAAGCCAAGACGTAATACGAGGCCTTAAACTTGTTTAATAATTTTAAATATTTTTGTTGAAATTTATTCGTTTTACTTTTTGAGATGCAATTTCATCTATAATATCCCTTTAATCTTTGTTGAAACATTACTAATCTTTAATAAGATTTTATTAAGTTTAATTTTTAATTTGTTCTTTTCACATGACCGTCAATATAACTTACTATTTGCCTCCCAAAGTAACAATCATGTAAGAATTTGTATTTACGAACGATGATAAATATTTTACGATCTAATTAGCTTGAAGCGTGCCTACAGAGATCTTGAAAGAAAATATCTTACAAAGTTAGAGTTGTAAATAAAATTTATTCAAGTTGGAGTAATATGAACTAGAAAATAATTACAACTTTAATTGTCTTTCACTTTCATTTGAATTTTTTCAACCAACTCCAAAAAAAAAAAAAAAAAAAAAACTAACAACAACCGAGTAAAATCCCACTAGTGGGGTCTGAGGAAGGTGGTGTGTACGTAGACCTTACCCCAACTCCAAAAAAATATAAAATAAAATATAAAACTATGTTATTAATGATTGGTGACGAGGTAGCAAAAGATGGTTGAAAAAATTTCTTATCACTATTTAATAATAAGTATAATAAAAAGAGTAGTTTTTGGGGCTTTTAATTTTGTGAGGCCTAAAGTGGCCGCTTTAATGGCCTGGGAGTTAAGCCGCCTCTGGTTCAAGCTCAAGGTAGACATATTGTATATATGATAAAAAGCGGTCTCAAAAGTTGGGTGAATTAGGAAGCAATACGTGTCAATGATGATGAATCAACAGTAATTCAACCATGTTCATACCAGATACAAACATGTGGCTGGATAAGATGTTGACACCGGATACAAATATGTGGCCGGACAAGAAGCAATTCAAGATATGGCAGTTACAAAAACGTTACAGAAGACCCCAAGATTCCTTCGGGCTTTATTAGCCTGTATTAGGCTTTATTAATTTTTATTATTCTTTATCACCTTTTATTACTTTTTATCGTAGCATTAATATTGGTAATTAATGGGGCACAGTTGGTAGATCATACACCCATATCTTGTAGTATAATTCCATCCTATTTTAAGACATAAGGAAATACTGATTGCAAAAGACTAGTATTCTGTCTCTCATTGTTTTATGCTTTATACAAGTTCTCAAGATTTTTCAATTATTCATCCCGGTGGAAACATTCTTAGGTTCATGCTTGTCTTTTTCTTAATTATTCTTATTTTATTCGTTTTTGTTCTTTACTACTTTATTCTATCGGATCAATTTAATTCACGTATCTATAAATCACGTTACAAATTCAACTGTACATTTTACCGATAAACAGTTTGACACCCACCGTGGGGCATAGATAATTGTGGTATTATTTTGATGTGTTCATCTTTTACTAACATACTTTGAAGTTTTTTTGTTGTAATCATAAAATAGTTATGGCACCTAATGATGTCAACAACTCGCTCAATGTTGTAACAAACCACACCGACAAGCCCGCGGACAATCTCCCTGATGGAAATCAACATGATGGTTCAACCGATGAAACACGTCTCGATGCAAATGAGTCAACTCCTAACCGCGTAGAAAAAAATTACTCGGCGTGCAAGGAGTCATACCCCTAATGATATGGATGATGAACCCGTTGCCGATACTGTTAAAGTTTTGACAGCAGAGCAAAGGAAAATAATGAATCATCTATCAAGTCATGACCGAATAATGACTGAGCTACAACATGCGCTATCGGTTATTTCCAATAATTCCAATGGTGGAGTTCGGGCCCCTCCCGACGTTCCTATAAATCAAACGACCCCAAGAACCGGTAACACCGTTACTGGGGGGAAAGTTTAGATCAAACAACAATCAAGCGGGTGGAGTCGGCAATGGATTTAGAAATAAGAACAATGTTGATCTTTTCAAAGTTGAACTCATGAGGTGTCACGACCCAAATCTCAATATAGTTCGGGATGGCACCCAACGTCGCCGTTAAGCAAGCCAACGGTGAACTAGAAACTTAATTATTTATTTTATTATTTTTAAAATCATGAATCTTATTAGATAGAGAGATCAATGCATTAAAAAAATCGTAGATACGTACAATTTAATTACAATATAAAGCAATAGTGTGTCAATGTAAAGTAAACCATAAAAAAATTCTAGAACACCCCAAAATCTAGTGTCACAAGTGCATGAGCATCTACCAGGAAGTACAATAACAATACAACTTCTGTCCGGAATACAAGATAGACAGGATAAACTAAATAATTATGATGGAAATTCTGCGTGCTGTGAATCGTAGCATGGAATGCAGCTCACCATAAAGTCCCCTCAGCAGCTACGCCTATGCTCCCAAATGACCACCAAATGAATCTGTCAGATCCTGCATATTTAGTGCAAAAGTGCAGTATTAGTACGTAAATCAACGCGTACCCAGTAAGTATCTAGCCTAACCCCGAAGAGGTAGTGACGAGGGGTCGATATTGACACTTACTAGTGGTCCAGTAAATCAAATATAACAAAGTAGACAAGTATAAAACATGGTAAAAAGACAATGAGTATAGATATAGACAAATAATACAGTCTACAGCTGAATAATAAATACAAAAGTCCTCAACTATCGGATACCTCCTTAAATGGAATACGTAATGGTCAATACCAAATCAACTGTCACATCTCAAGTCAGGAAACTCATGAGTACGCGGACTCCTTATCAAGTATTTCGTACGATTCTACCGAGGCGAGCAGCCTGATCCCTTATGAGTGTTTCGTAGAACTGCCGAGGCAAACGACCAGATTCCATAAGAGTGTGATACATATTTCTGCCGAGGCAAACAGCCCGATCCCATAAGAATATGACACGTGATACTGCCGAGGCGAACGACCCGGTCCCATAGGACTGTGTTACAATATCCTGCCGAGGCGAATGGCCCGATCCCGTAAGAGTGTGAAGCTTTTGTGGGTCTATGACCCCACTCATGAATATACGTCTGAGTTATGGAATTCAAGAAAAACTTTTCGATGAATACGCATAACGCGGGAGAAATCCGAAAGAGAAGCACAATTCTTATGGCTAATCAAATAGCCCGTCAAATATCTAAAATAGTGAGTCTAGTCTCAGGTCATAATGTTGTCACGACCCAAACCCCGGTCGTGATGGCGTCCAACACATTGTTAAGCAAGCCCGACCATTCAACAACAAAATCTCAACTTATGAAAATTCAGGAATTCGATCACAGATACTAAATTACTAAACCATCGTATCAATCTACTATGAGCACAGAGTAGTATACTGAAAACCAATAAAAATACTAGAACACAACCCAAAACAGGATCCGGTGTCACGATTACGAGCCTCTAATACAGAGTGTCATCCTATAACAAGACTGTCTAAGAAACGGAATAATGAAAGATAGGGATAGGAGGGAAGGATCAAGGTTGCGAACGCCATGCAGCTACCTCGATGCTCCCGGAGAAATGCTGCCAGCTAAACAGGTCCTCCCTCAGACTGTGATGCACCTAAATCTGCACACAAAGTGCAGGGAGTAAAGTGAGTACTCCGACTCAGTGAGTAATAAGCATAAATAACAACTGAAGATAAGAAATCACTGAAAAACCAAAGGCCACTATACCAGGCAGTACCAAACCTTAACAGTAAAACCGACAAGTCAATAAAGTAATAGTACAGAAAGAACCATGACAGGTAATAGGTAAGGAATGATGCCGTAATGTAATGCAATGCAAATACCGGTACACTCAGGTACCCACTGCGGCGTGCAGTCCGA